AATTCAAAACAAGTGTTCACACAAAAACTTGTCAAAAATTTGTTCATAGCAGCATGACTCATAATAGCCAAAAAGCAGAAACACCCTAAATGTCTATCAGTGAGGAATAGATATACAAAATACAGTATATCTCTATGATAGAATCTTTAAAACCACAAAAAGGCATGAAGTAGTGATATATGCTTCAACATGAGTGAATCTTAAAAACATTATGGTAAGTAAAGGAAGCTAGACACAAAGGGCTACATCTTACATGATTCCATTTATATGCAATATCCACAATAACAAGATACATAGACACAAAAAAACATATTAGGGGTTGCCAGGAGCTGGTGGGAGGAGGAAATGGGGAGTGACTGCTTAATGGGTACAAGGCTTCTTTTGGGCTGAAGAACATGTTCTGGAATTAGAAAGTAATGATGGTTAGACAATTCTGTGAATATAGTAAAACCCACCTAATTGTACAATTTAAAAGGAAGAGCCCTGGCTGGTGTGGCTTACTGGATTGAGCACTGACCTCTGAACCAAAGGGTGGCTGGATCCATTCCCAGTCAGGGCACAGGCCTGGGTTGCAGACCAGGTCCCCAGTAGTGGGTGTGTGAGAGGCAACCACACATTGACATTTCTCTTCCTCTTTCTCCCTCCCTTCCCCTCTCTCTAAAAATAAATACATAAAATCTTTAAAAAATAAAAGGAAAATTGTATAGTGTGTGAATAATATCTCAGTAAAATTTTCCCCATCCCCCCCCAAAAAAGATTGTGCAGACTTTGAATGACGGCTGGAAGAGCCCATCCTTGAGCCAAGGGCAGATGTGTGGAACATGAACTTTGCAACCTCATTTTAGACTCTTCAGAGGCTTTACTCCTTTCTGATTTAAGTACATTTTCTAGATTGCTGAGTCTGTCAGATAAATGACTTTCCATTGAGGTGTGTACTTGAGGAGACAAATTTATATTGTTTGTTTTGACTTACAATTTTATGAAGTTGTGTTTTTATAACCATCACTGTTGCTGCTATTTATGGCACTGCTCTCTACCCACTTTCTCTGTATTGACCTATGTACTTTGCCTCATAACCCTTGAAGGTAGGCACTGTATTAGCCCCATTTAACTGAAGAGGAATCTTAGGCACAGAGACCTTAAGTAACTTGACCAAAAGCACACAGATAATTAGTAGCACTGACAAAAATCAAGGCAGTGATCCACCAGCACCTGTGCTCCTGATCTGTACACTACATGACCTGTAAGTCAATATAAACCCTTTATAAAGAGACTCAACTCTTTACAAGATTTTGAGTGAAGCAGAAATTATAGCCGTATGCTGAAACCACGTGCTCATTCATAAATGGATGAAGTAGCAAGTCACTAATTGAAAGGTGATCTTGCTGATGTGCACAGCCAAGGCAGTAATGCTAATACAACTGAGCTGTCCATTATCCCCACCAGTGTACCCTTTTTAGGCCTTTTCTTTCCCTTCTCAGGTGAGATCTTTATTGGTTCCTGTCTTCTCTGAAGGTTGCTGCCTCAGAGTCACAGCTTTCCTCCCGTATGTAGACTGCCCCACACAACAAATCTTTGTGAGAAAGGTTGCACAAAAGAGGTTTGGAAAAGAAGTGGCTTAAAATGCCCTATTGCAGTGTTCTGGCAAAGGAACTAATTGACATTTTTATTCCAAAGGGGGGAAAATTGCCTAATAGCATGAGTCAGCGTGTACTACCACCCATGCCAAATGCTCATTCTTATTTCAGCTCAAAGGCCTCAAGTGGGTGAAAACAGCTCTCGTTTTTGCTCAGTGTTTTGTGTGGTAGAGTTAGATGGATGCTGTTTAAATTCTATGCATACGCCAATTAAAATCACTAAGGAGTTCTATCTTTTTTGTTCCATCCTTTTTTGCCCTGAGGTATTTTATTCTTCTGAAAGTATCCATAGTTAAAATTCAAACTCCCATCACCCACCTACATTAATGTAGAAAATGAGGCAGGGATTTTGCAGTCTTTTGCACATATATTTACTGTAAACTGACTAGAAGATTTAAGACTGTTAGGCATCAGTGAAAAACTGGGTGATTTTCTGGGTAGAGTGGAAAGCAGATGGCTGTGATTTGTACTTTAATTCATTCCATTGAGTAGTTGGGAGTTGAATCCTGCAGAGGCAGAGACCAGGAGGGAAAAAAGTGGAGGTAAATGAGAGTAATGGAAGTAGGCTGTTAGTGGCAGAGATTTTCCTCTGGCACTTTGGGGTAAAAGTGACTTCTTGATCACATGTGTCAATTTATTTGTTTGAACTTATTCTTTTCTAAGGGATGGGAATAAAGAGAAGGAGTGCTCCGTGCAGGTATTTCCCTTCACGATGTCTCATCATATAGGTCTGGCCCAGGCAGGGCCCTCCTAAATGTGAGGCCTAAAATAATCCAACTGGTTAGAAGATGGCAGGCCAAATGGCTTGCAGATGAGAAAAATGTCTTCAGCATTTATCGTGACTTAAAATATTTATCTTGTATAAACTTTGCCATTCATCCAATTGCTGGGTCTTTGATTTACATGTCCTTGCATCTATGCTGTTTCTTCCATTTGGAAGGCTCTACCTCACCTACTTTCAACCCCTATCTTTCCATGTCCAGATGCTACCAGTTCTTCAAACCACAGTTCATATTGGGTTATGCAAGTTGGAAATGATCTCTTTTTCTTGAATACTTGTATACATTGTTTGTGTCGTTGGTCACTTTATACACTGTCACCCTTGTGGAGTAGGCTGCTATGGTCACTACTAGAACCATAAGCTCTGTATTGTCCATAATGGCTGCACAAGGCCTGGTGCAGAGAATGGGCTCAGTATGTGTTGAGGATATGAATGAATTAATGAATTTCAGCAGGAGTAAATATGGTTGAGTGCTCGATACTGATACAATTTTCCTAAGAGCTGTAAAAATGTACACATGAGGCCAATTGTTGGCCAAGACGTCCAGTGCTAAGATGACTGACTAAAGTTCAGCCAATTGAGCTGCCCCTTGGTCCTGTCCTTTACCAGGAACATCCTGATTAAGGGACAGAAAGCAGCAGCTCTCAAGCAAGTTCCTTTAAAGTGTGAGAGTGTTGAAATCATTGCTTCAGTAAATGGACTCTTTTTGGTATTCACTCTGCTGATCCTAAGAGGCTCCCCAGGCAGCCAGGGGTTCTGAGAGAGCAGTGACCTCTTCCAGCACTGTGGCACATGGCAAGAGACTGGGCACAGGGGGAGTTACCTTCTCCTGTAGACAACGAAGGCTCAGGACCCAGTTCTGGTTCCATCCTATAGCAAGGATGCCTAAATAGCTGTGCTGAGCTTGCAGAATGCTGCCTCCGTGATCAAAGCATAATGGGGAGCTGGTTACAGAGGTCACAGATTCAGGACCTGAGAGAGCCTCTGTTTGTAGCAAAGTCTAGTACATGGCCACCAGTTGCTACACTAATCATATATCATTGGGCTGAGGAAGGTAGTCCCTTGAAGGAAGCCCATTGGCAACTAATGGTGGGTTTCTTTTAATAATATGGGTACTAAAAAGGATAAAAGCTGTTTCCTGACACACTCAGGATTAGAGCAGCCCTCAGCCTAACTAATGATGTTGAAAAACCTAACCGAGGTGGTGCGGCCTGGTACTATGTGTGGGGTAATGGATCATCCCTTTTCTGTGCACTCCTCTGTTTCAGTGTCCAGGTAAATGAAGCCTCTCAAAGGAGATGTCATCAGTGTGATGTCACACCCATGTACCTGGAAAGAGCTAGATGTGGTTAGATATTGTCTGCAAAGATTACGTGAGATAACTGAAAGGAGTAGAGAGGTATCCCACTGAGTACCCAAGTACAGATGTGTCATGTCTCTTTAAAAGGAGAGGTTAAGTGTAGCTGGGGGCTATTTAAATAGGCACTGAGTAGAACATGTCAGTGACTCATACTTTGCTGTGACTGTAAAGAATTTACCAGTTTGTTATTGGGTGGAATCAGTAATTTCAGTAATTAATATTAGATATGGATCCCTAATGGGTTGGGACCATGACATTAAGGGTACAAAAATTCACACTGAGGCACCATTCGTGCTTTCCAGGTTTAAGAGCAAGTCAAATGTGGCTGTTAAATTCAGAAGCAGTGGGGGGCAATAATTATACCTTTTCTAAATAGGTTTTTTATAATGAGTTTCAATCTGTGAAGGCCCTGTTTTCATTTAGATTGGGCCCTTTTTAAACTAGGGTGGAAGGCATTATTTATTTTCTAAGTAGAGAAGAAGATCCATGGGGTAATACTTTTAAAGCTTATTCTAAGTGCAGAACACTTAATTTTATTACTTATTGGGTCAGATTGTCCATATGCACTACAAGATATTTTAGGGCAATGAGTACTTTGACTATGGGGAATGTAGACAACACAATAGTTCCAGTGCTGTAGCTCAGGCATATCTGTTTCCATTTTATGCTCAGTAACTGCCTGGTTGTTTTTTGTTTGTTTGTTTGTTTGTTTGTTTGTTTGAAATCAGCTTGTCCAAATATGGGCCAGAAGTGGAAGAGAAAGGAGTGAGGCTGAAAGCTGTCAATAGTCTAACATCTAAAATGGAATCGGATTCATTATCACACACTGGCCTCCCCCCACATCACCTCGCTGCTCCCCCATTCCCGCCTCCTCCCCCCCGCCCACCACACTCGGAATACACACAAAACACCAGTTTCTTTCCACCCCTGCCCGTATGATAAACTGTGAAGGAAAAATCCCTCTTCAGTGTTCACCTAGTCCTTGTTCTCCGTGTCTGGCTAACTGTGGACTGGCTGGTCTAGTCCCCAGACTTGGAGGACACCACCTCCCCCCTTCTCCCAGGCCTGCCCCTTCCTTCGCTCCCTCCCCGTCTTCCGAGAACGCACAGAACAAAACACATTTCCTTTTCACACATGCTAGTGTTTTATTCATTAACGCCACATGACGTCCTTGGGTCTGGACAGGGGACCCTTTCCGTTTTGGTCTCCACATAAGGGACCATTACTCTGGCATTTCTTCCAGAGACGCAGCATCTATGGAAGGGTCTTCGGTTTCTGGGTCACAGGCGTCGTCACTTGTAGAGGGAGCCTCCTCCTGGTTTTCTTCATCTGTGTCGGGCAGACTTTCTTCATCCGTGTCGGGCTGGCTTTCTTCATCCGTGTCGGGCTGGTTTTCTTCATCCGCGTTGGGCTGGTTTTCTTCATCCGTGTCGGGCTGGTTTTCTTCATCTGTGTCGGGCAGACTTTCTTCATCCGTGTCGGGCAGACTTTCTTCATCCGCGTCGGGCTGGTTTTCTTCATCCGCGTCGGGCTGGTTTTCTTCATCCGCGTCGGGCTGCTTTTCTTCATCCGCGTCGGGCTGCTTTTCGCTGACTTTTCTACACCCCCTGTAGCACAAGATGATTATCTTCGGCTTTTTCCCTCCCTTATGCTTTTCTTCAATCTGTCGAAGGACCGAAGTCACCTTCTCTGTTAACTTCAGAGCCTAGGAGGGAAACCAGACAAACCCGGAAAGACATTGGTTTGGGGGAAGTGGGTGGGAAACCCGTAAGAAGGGGATGGGAGGAGGCTGAGAGGGACTTGAGGAGGGGCTTGTGCCAGGCGAGGGCAGGGGAGAAGCCTTCGCGGGGGGGGGTCCGTGGGGAAGAGGAGGGGGCCGAGGAGGAGGGGAGTCTGACCTTTCTCCGTCCTTCGTCTGCGACCTGGGAATCACTCTTCCTCTTCACTCCTGTGGTTGGCGTGGGTGTCTCTTCCTCTGGAACAGGCTCCATCGTGGGTGTCTCTTCCTCTGGAACAGGCTCCATCGTTTCCTCAGTTTCGTTGGCCATCGGGTAGCCGCAGCGCCCTACTCAGGGCGCCTGACCTGTACATATACCGTCCAGGACACTGAGGAGCCCCACCCTCGGCTGTGATGGGCCATCAGAAATTCCTTCCGCCAGTGGTAACCACGGTGCGGGGTGACATCACAAAGCCCCACCCTTCACAATCCGGGAGGGGGAGGGGAGAAGGGGAGGGGAGAAGGGGAGGAGAGAAGGGGAGGGGAGAGGGGGAAGGGAGGGGGCAGAGGAGTTTGGCTGCTCTGGTTAGACCGAGGTGGAGCTTCTTCAAAACCCCTAAGCGTTTTCCCAAAGTGACCGCTCACTCTTCCTCATCTCCTCTAGGTAGGTGCTTGTGGTGCACAGGGCAGGGGGAGGGTGTTTCCTCTAAGCCGTTCCCCTCAGCCGTCTCCATTCATTGGTTCATTCTGTTGTCTCCTATCTCTAGTCATCATCTAGTATTTCATGAGCTTTTAGTGCATGTTTCATTTTAGAACAGTTTCAGATTTACAGAAAAACTGTGAAGGTAATACCCATATGCCCCACACCCAATTTCCCTTATTATTACCATCTTGCATTAGCATGGTGCCTTTGTTACACTTGTGAACCAACAGTGAAACAGTTATTAATTAAAGTCTGTACTTTATTCAGATTTCCTTTGTTTTTCTTAATGTGGTTTTTCTGTCCCAGGCTCCCATCCAGGATGCATGTGACATTTAGTCATCATGCCATGCCTCATTAGGCTCCCCTTGGCTATGAAAGTTTTTAGACTTCTTGTCTTTGAGAACCTTGAGAGGTTGCTTTTTTTTGTTGTTTTTTAACATTAAATTCTCAGATGTTATTGATGTTATAGTTGAAAGTTTGTACCCTTTTACCAAGCTCTTCCTATTTCTTCCACCCTGCAGCCCCTGGCTAATAATTTTCTACTCTCTATTTCAATGAGTTTCACTTTTTCTTTTTTAAATAATGCACATATAAGTGATACGATGCAGTGTGTGTATATAACATCTTCTATATCCACTCATGTAGTGATGGATACTTGCATTACTTATATGGGCTATTGAGAATAATGCACTGCAATGCCTACCTATGTTTTGTTTTGTTTTTTAAATAATTTTTATTGTTATTCTATTACAGTTGTCTCAATTTTTCCCCTTTGCCCTCCTCTGCCCATCCCACCCCCAGCTCCCACAGTCAATTCCCACACCATTGCTCATGTCCATGGGTCATTCGTACATGTTCTTTGTCTAGTCCCTTCCCCTTCTTTCCACCATCGTCCCCCTCCCCACCTCTGGTCACTTTCAATCTGCTCCATGTTTCCATGCCTATGGTTCTATTTTGTTCATTAGTTAATTTTGTTCATTAGATTCCACTTATAGGTGCAATAATATGGTATTTGTCTTTCACTGACTGGCTTATTTCACTTAGCATAATACTCTCCAGTTCCAGCCATGCTGTCATGAAAGGGAAGATTTCATTCTTTATTTCTGCTGTGTAGTATTCCATTGTGTAAATGTGCCATGGTTTTTTAATCCTTTTCATCTACTGATGAGCACTTAGGCTGTTTTTAGCACTTGGCTATTGTAAATAGCGCGACTATGAACATAGGGGTGCAGAGGTTTTTTTGAATTGGTGTTTTGGGATTCTTAGGGTATTTTCCCATCAGTTGAATTGCTGGGTCAAAAGGCAGACCCATTTTTAGTTTTCTGAAGAAATTCCAAACTGTTTTCCACAGTAACTGCACCAGTCTGCATTCCCACCAAGAGTGCATCAGGGTTCCCTTTTCTCCACAGCCTCGCCAGCACTTGTTGTTTGTTGATTATTAATGATGGCCTTCCTGACAGGTGTGAGATGATATCTCAATGTGGTTTTTATCTTCATCTTTCTGATAGCTAGTGATGATGAGTCATGGTGATATGTCTATGGGCCCTCTGTATGTCCTCCTTGGAGAAGTGTCTATACAAATCCCACCCATTTTTTTCATTGGATTGTTTATCTTCCTGGTGTTGAGTCATATGAGTTCTTTATATATCCCTACCTAGTATTTTGGATGTCTTACCTAAAACCCCACAGAGCTAAATACCAATATTTAAGTTTCAGTGAAGAAATGAGTTACCGCACTTCCCTCCAACACTTGGCTCTTCTAGACAACTTTCCAGGTTGTATTTGGTGCATGTGTATGTGTGTGTGTGTGTGTGTGTGTGTGTGTGTGTGTTTACTGAATGTACTTCAATGGTTTTTTTCTCCACCCTCCTCATACTTATAAGCTTTTTCTCCAGAGAACCTGAAACCAAGTCAGTACCATCAGAGTTATGGACCTCCCCATGGTAGTGGCTGAATTAATCCCTTGGCTTTGTCACAGGGATGCTGTGGATGTTTCTCTCTAGAGCCCTGAGGATCAGGATCCTGTGTGCATGTGTGTGTGTGTGTGTGTGTGTGTGTGTGTGTGTGTGTGTGTAACAGAGGCATTGGCAGCAGCAGCAGAAGCATTTTGTAAGGTCCTAGGGAGACTTCTGCTTCAGGAGTGTGACTTCCGCATCCCATACAATAATGGCTCTTCCTCCACGACTGACTACCCAATGGACCTGTATATTGAATAGACTCTCCAACCAACCTATGTATAGAAAGGGAGCAACAACTGGTTAAGACACAACAAATGTTCACAAGGTAAGACTCATTGCCTCAGACATAGTGTCAGTCACATCTTGTTTTATAATTGGGACGTATGCTTCCATCTGAGGCTCACAGAGAGGTCCAGGCTGAGACACATGGTCGAGGACTACTTTAAGGCAATGACTGTCACTATATGCCAATCTGCTAAACTGGCTAATGTGAGTCAGATCTTTAGCAGATGCTTCATAAGACTCACAAATGCAGCACAGAAAAGGGCAGTTGAAAGCGAAAGCAGGCCAGCAGGCAGTAGCTCAGAGTGCGTGCCTACCAGTACGCAGCAGAGCTAGTTAGGAGGCAAAAGCAAGACAAGCAAGAGCCCCGGTGGTGGTGGACAGAACCTTGGTGTCCTGCTCACACAGCCGATTGTTGTGATCACTCCACAGAGACAGGATGGACCCTTCTCCCCAAATCTGGTTTGGATGTCAAGACTGATGACACAGGTGCGAAGAGAGTATGAGAAGTTTATTACTCACATAATGAGGCTTTCTGGGGAGACCAGGGAAGGCTCTCAAGCAGGTTCGAGAATGGTTTGAGATACACCTGATACTAATATAAAATAATATTGAATGTCAACTGTAATTTAAAATGAAGAAGAATGGCTTGAGGGAGCAGAGGAAGGAGACGCGCCTTTGACGGTAATAAGAGGATGAGCCTGGAATGAGTATTCCATACAGGTTAGGGTTTGCATGGTTTGAACTGCCTGCTGGCCCCACAGAAAAGTGTAAAGTGTGCCTGGGCTTTCTCATCAGACAGGCAAGGCAGGGAAGAGGACATGGTGTGGTTCTCTTATGGAATAGTCTTGTGTAAATGCCAGAGGTTTCAGCCCAATTTAGAATTCACATAACCCTTACAACTAACCTTCTTGTATTGTTTTAGCATAAGCTGCTTTTCAGTAGATAAACATTTATCAAATTCAAATTATGGCCCTTTAAATATTATCTAAAGTGGCTTAGAATTATCTTGGTTCATCAGAGGAGAAACTGTAGAAAGAGAAAAGACTGCTAGCATCAACAAGTCTGACACTGTCTACAATAGAGCAGACTAATTATACTACCTGGTGAATTATGCGGGGTTACTTATATTTTTTCCTATTCCAGGTAATTACTATAGCACACAAAGACTGTAATAATAATAATAGAAATTAACATTTATTGATCACTAACTCTATGTAGAAATTATACTAAATATTCATGTCCCTACTTAATCTTCATCACAACCCTATTCATGTAAGTGACAATATAGCACTTTCTGCCAGCTCTGCTGGGATTCCTGTGGCTACCTCCATTATGACTGCAGAAAAAGAAAAGACCACAGTGAAGGGCACATGGGAACATTTCTAGGCCAGACTCAACTTGGGCATGCGGGACTCCTGCTCATGTCTCATTGGAAAAAGTTCACAGAGCTACACCCAACTGCAGTACAAAAGGGGAAATGTAGTGTATCCAGAGGAGAACTTGATTGCTGGAAACAGCCAGCAGTCTCTGTCACCACTATCCTGTCCATCACCATCCCCATATTTAGAGTAGGGTTAGGCCCACAGTAAGTCATCACAAATGTATCTTTTGAATGAACCAGTTTGAGTTTTTTGGGTCAGTTATGGAGATCAGAAACGTATAGGACTTGGTTAAGCAATGGGTTCTTAGGTTCAACACAGAAGTGCAAGCAGCAAAGAGTAAACTGGACTACATAAACATTTTAAAAATTATTTCTTCTACAAACTGACCATCAAAAAATGAATAGGCTCCCCAAAGAAAGAGAGAAAATATTTGGAAATCATATATTTGATAAAGGTCTAGTATGCAGATATAGAAAGAACTCTTACAACTCAAAAACAAAAATACTATAACCCAATTAAAAATTAGGTAAAAGACTTGAGTAGACATTTCACCAATTAAGATACACAAATAGCCAAAAAAAAAAAGACATGAAAATATGCTCCATATCATTAGTCATTAGGGAAATACAAATCAAAACCACAATGAGATACCACTGCACACCCATTTGGAAAGCTATAACCAAAGACATAACAAAATAACAAGGATATGGATAAATTGAAACCCTCATACACTTCTGGGGGGGACATAAAATGGTGCTATCTCTAAAAATCATTTGGCAGTTCCTTAACAATTTAAACATAGACTTCCTATACTGCCCAGCAGTCCCACTTCTAGGTATATAACCAAAAGATTACAAACAGGTGGAAAAAATGGGTGAATGAAGCATTACATGAGAGATAAGCAGATAGTATTTCAAGAATGAAAAAAATGGTTAATTTTATTAAATACTCTGCATAGATGAGGTCAAACAGTTGATTATTGAAATTGATAACATGGAAGTCA